CCCCTCTCCACTACCTTCATTCCGTGCTCTAGTAATTTCACACCCCTGTATGACCCACAATCTCTCACATCTCCTTTGCCCTTATACAACGGCACCAACACACTGTGTCGCCAATCCTCAGGTATACCTTCATCATCAAACATACTGTTAGCAATTCTCATCATAACTTCAATTCCTATCACCCCACTCGCTTTAATATGTTCAGCCGCCACTTCCGAAACCCCTGTCGCCTTACCTAGTTTCATTTCTCTAACTGCTTTCTCTACTTCCTCCATCGTCACCTTCTCTATAGGTCCGTGTGTGACCACGGATTCCACATCTCCATCCCACTCATTCTCTTCATTCATCAACCTTTCCATATGAGCTTTCCACACCTGAGCTTTTTCCTCCTCATCTACGCACAACTTGCCAGATCCATCCCAAACACATCCATTCCCTATAACATCTTTCCTATCCCTCATTGACTGCTTTGCTACTTTGAACATTTTCCTCGAACTCACATCAGATTCCATTTCCTTCATTAACCTATCTGATGCTTTCGTCATTGCGGTTGCCACTGCCTGTTTTGCAACCTTCTTAGCCTTCCTATACTCAGACTCCGCTTCCTCCGTCATGTCCCTTCTCCATACTCTAAACCTCTCCTTCTTGACTTCCAAAACCCTTCTTATATCTTCGTCCCACCACCACGTCTCACCATGCCTACACTTTCCTTTCGTCCATCCACATACTTTATCTGCCGTAGCCAACACACAGTCCCTGTATCTCTCCCAAACATCTCCATCCTTACCACTCTCCCAATTTTCAGTCACCTTCACTTCAAATGCCTTCCTCACCTCTGCATCCTGCAACTTCCATGTCTTTCTCTTTGCCACAAACTTATCCTTCTTCCTCCTTCCCATTTCTTTTGATGTCACATCCATCACAACCATACTATGCTGCAACATACCAGGTATCGCCTTCACAATCTTCACATACTTCCTATGTTTGGCCCTTACCAATATATAGTCGATCATCGATCTATTTTCCCCTGACCTATAAGTAATCAATCGCGCTGGTTCCCTTGTGAACCAAGTGTTTCCCACCACCATGCTGTGTGCATCCGCTAACTCCAACACTCTACGCCCTTCCTCATTCCGTATACCATATCCCCATCCCCCATGCACACCTTCATATCCGTCTGCATCCGCCCCCACATGACCATTCAAATCACCCAACAACACCACAAACTCATTCAACCCCGCTTGCCCAATCTCGTCAGAAACATCATCATAAAACCTATCCTTCTCCTCTTCCTTCCTACTTTGTTGCGGAGCATATCCTGATATCACCCTCACTATTACTTTTCCAAACACCATCACCACCACAATTACCCCATTGCTTCTCCGCCTCATTTCCAACACCTTCTCCACCAACTCTTCTCTTACCATCACACCAACTCCTCCCGTACCATCAAATAAAATAAAACAAACACGAATTAGTAAAGGAAATAATAACAAGTTCCATTCTGAAATTCAGCAGATATTTGCAAAAATAAATAAGCAGTCAGTAGTACAACTACCAATTACTTAGCCATGCCCCATCACTACAAAAGTTTTTAAAAAGTAGCTGCTAACAACTACAATTCATTAATAATGATTGCAATCTTGTATAAACAGCTAGGCCCAATCGTCATTACAACAAAGGAATCATTAGCCAGAACAAGACAAACGATTCAGTAAAAATCTACAGTAATTTCTACCGCAAGTTTTACTAACTAGTCAGTAATAATGTTTGCTAGTTGCAGTAGCAAGATAGTAAGAAAACTGCAACAATTTCGTTAGTATTTTTAATAATTGTGAAAAATGATAACAAAATATCTCAATGAAACTTTTGAAAAAAATGAAGATGAAAAAAAGTTTAATAAACAAAAAGTGAGAATCGTAACAATTTTTTAATAATTTTGGACAAATATACAAAAGGAATAAAAAAAATTTTTTGCACCACAGAACACGCGCATACATGCACACACGCGCGCACACACTCACGCACGCACGAACACACATACACAATAACACATTTCATAATATTATGCGTCACCCTAAAGACAAACACAGCAACACATAAAACAATTAACCTGATCAATAGACAAATCAATTATTCACATAATTAATTACTTAATTAATTAAAAAAAGCCAATTAACTATTAAAAAACAAAATCAAAGTTTTGACTGAATGACGGGAGGAGACAGTTGACTGAATGATGATGTCATCAGTGACGTCATAGCCCCGGCAACGTGATCAACGTAAGAGGCTGCGCAAATTATGGAAAAACATTAATTAATTATTTATAATTTATTATAAAAAACGCTTTTGCATTAGAAATTCTATTAGAATAAATTAATGAAATAATCAGATTACCTTGAAACACTCAGGAAATATTTGCACTACAGTTATTTAGAATGAAAATTAAACGACAAAAATGATTGAATTAATTAATTAATAGACTGATTAAATAGTTAATTAATTGATTAATAAAAATTCGAAATCCCAAACCAATTTTCTTCAATAAATCAGTTAAGTCTGAAATCTTTGCAAGTAAGACAACACTGTCACCTCTGGAAGGAGTAGAGTAGGAAATTAATTTATCGTTGTTTAAAATAATAGTTACAACCTAAACAAAAACAAACAATAAGTTTGAAAAAATGCGAAAATAAAAATAAACAAAACTATAGAAATGTCACACGTAATCTATCTAAGACCTTTTGCTCTTAACAACTGCACCAATTTGAACGAAACTCTGGAGAGCATTGTTGATCAAATCCAAAGATAGAATCTCGAGATGAGGCGTGCATCTAGTCTGAAGTAGCTTCAACATCAGCGTCTGAATCCTGCCTGCTAGATCTTTCTGGGGCGTTTCTATGTGAAGGTCTTTCCTATTAACCAGGCTCCAACAAACAATCTGTTAGTGATGACGTTGACGATGATGTCTAGACAATGATGATGTTTGGATGATGATGTTGGTGGTGGAGATGTTTAGACGATAATGATGTTTGGATGATGACGATTGTGGTGAAAATATCTAAACAATAATGATGCTTGGATAATGATCATGGTGGTGATGATGTCTAGACGATGATGATGTTTGCATGATGATGTTGGTAGCGAAGATGTCTAGACGACAATGATGATGGTGATGATATAATTTATGATGTTGTCAATAATGATGGTTTTGAGATGAACGACAAATAAAATTGACGACAAGAGTGTTGATGGTTTGTATGGTCATAGATAAAGGCAATGTAATATGAAATATAATTATAAATAACAAAAAAAACCCAGTAGGCAAGCATAAATGGCTGAAACATGCTGCAAAAGAACGAGGAATGATCTGTCAACAAGCATCTATCCAGCAAAAAAACATCAGATCCATGTGATGAAGATGAAGTTGACGTGGATGATGGCGTGAATGATGGTGATGATGACGAAGAGGATGGCGATGTCACGGTAATATCGATAATATTGCTATCATTAGTGTCATCAGCAGCAGCATTAATGTCAGATGTGTTGATGCTTTGTTGTTGTTGTTGTTGTGGTGGTTGAGGTATTTTTGGCTTGCTTGCAAGCACTCCAACGTTTTTAAGTTGAGATATCGTTTTGTCAAATGTCTGAAGTTTTTTTTTTGCTTTTGCTTTTCAAGAAATTAAATTTTCAATGAAGATACTTTAATAGTAAATTTTATAAGCTATCTCAAGCATAATTGAAAAAAATTAGTAGATTGATCATGTGACATGGTCATCAATATCCTTAGTGTGAAACATTAATTATCCAACATACACAACAACAACAACCAATGAACTCACCTGCCTCGATTGACCAGGTAGGAAGACAAAATCTCTGGAGAGCAGGCACTCAAGAAAAACATAGTCATCGTAGAGGTCTCCTAGAGAAAAAATAAATAATTATCAAATTTTATTATTTCACGCTTCCATGAGCATCATTCACGCCATCATCCCCACAGCAATGTATGATTAACCACTTTAAAATTTTCATTGATAAGAAATCTCATGTTGTTTTCATGTTGCAATGAAAAGATGAAAAAAAAAATTTCAGAAATAAAATGGCACCCAATGAAAGTTCCCGGCAGTGTTTAGATCTACTTTTAATGGCCATCATGACCATGGCAACGTCAACAAACAGATGTGTCACGTGGTTCCTGTAGGAGGCCAGCATGAGGTAATTAGAAGCATCCAGCAACAAACTGCTGCTGTTAAGTGGATGGGACGGAGATGATGATGAAGATTGTGAAGATGATGAAACATCTTTCTCGTCGTCGTCCTCGTCATCATTGTAGTTATCGACGGTGATTAGTTGGACCACACCCTGTTCATTCAGTTTCAGTATGTTCTTGTGCAGACGCAAGCACATGTGGATGACATTCATAAGTGATACATTTCCTGTCGCACAAACAAATTTTAAATCTAACTTCATTAGTTTTGAACGAGCACGAAGTAAAAATATTAAATTGTTTCTTTACAGAAAAAAATTATCATAAATCAATGTCTACCTGGCCAATCAACATAAGCACCAAGATTACAAGCCTGCCTCTTCAGCCAATCAACTTTTTTGGACAGCTCATTAATATGTAAGCCCCTCGCAGCATGCTGAATGAAGACAGTAGCTAGCAGAGTACCAGGCGGAATAATGAATTGACGTTGTTGTTGTTTGACGATTTGATAAGCTAAGTTTGTAATCAAGATCTGTTCATCTCCTGACAGGCTGTTGATGTACCTAAATAAATAAATTTCAATTTTTCCAATCATTATTACAGTTTCGTGAAAGGGGTGAACCAGCAAGCACTTGACCAGCCAACCTAGGTTCCAGAGCGTGAGATACTCTATCTATCTTGCCGTCAGATACCTGCCTGATGGATATCGCCTCCCCAATGTGAATGTGAACAGACCCAAAATCTTCACTCAAAATTTTGCGGGCCTTCAATAAACCCTATTGATTTAATATGGATGAATGTTGATGAAAGTTGATGAATGTTGATGAATGTTGATTATTATTGATGAATGTTGACGAATGTTGACGAATGTTGATTAATGTTGATTAATGTTGATGAATGTTGACGAATGTTGATAAGCGTAAAAAAATCACCAACGTATTATGTTTACTCAGGAAATTGCATTTATTTATTAATTTCACCAAAATGCATCTATTCTTTATTTCTCAATTCCCCTGAACCTCAAGTTTCACCATCAAATGTACCAAACCCTCGCAAAGAAGTTAAATCATCCAACACATCATCAACACCATAAAAGTCAAATAAACTAACTGAAGTAGATTCTCTAGGCTTGGGAATTCCAAGAAGTTCAAATGCGTAGAGGGACTCCTCGACGATCCGGTCAAAGGTCAAGGACACAGGAACAATCATAACATCTGGCAGCTCTGCTTTGAAGTATGACTCCAATGATGCTGCCAACATGCCTGCAAGTAGGTCAGGTTGTTAGGTAGTGGTTTTAAGGTCAGGGCAAGTGATTTGGTAGCAGTAAATTATATGGAAACATGTTTTGAAGCAACAGACCAATTTTTGGAATGTATGATTTATTTGTTCTGCTCCTCGTTCCCTCAATGAAGAACTCAAGTGGATGGTCGCCGTTCTTCAGCTGCGTTTGAACGTACTCCGTGAAGATGGCCCAGTACAGATGGTCAGATCCAAATGACCTTCGAATGTAGAATGCTCCGCAGTTCTGCAGCAACCATCCCATCAACTTCATCCCTTTGAAATCTATCGTGATTTTTATTTAGAGTTTGTATGAGAGTAAAAGATGTATTTAAATTAAACTAAATATCAATCAATCTATTGAATGACCAATTGAACAAATGATTGAATGACTAATAGAATAATAGATTGATTAAACAAACAATAGTGTAATTAATTGATTGATAGGTAGAGAGAGAGAGAGAGAGAGAGAGAGAGAGAGAGAGAGAGAGAGAGAGAGAGAGAGAGAGAGAGAAAGAGAGAGAAAGAGAGAGAGAGAGAGAGAGAGAGAGAGGATGTGAACAGAGGACTACCCATAGCAGCAGCCACAGCAGGAACGGGCAGGTTGTAGTGATAGCAGACGAATGTGACCAGCACAAAGTCCATGTAACTCCTGTGCGTCGGCATCAACACAACAGGGTACTCTTGCATTATATGCTGCAACTGACAGGAATGAAATAAGATAAGCATCTTTTCAGAATTTGTATCATATAAATTTCGGTTAAAAATGCTGGTTTTTGTAAACTTGTTACAGTTCAAATAAATTAAACAATGCAGAATCAAAATTTTAAAATAAATTATTCATTCAGACAAAGATAAAAATAGCATAATTAAACAGTAGGGGCCCATAAACCAACCCTATTGACCCCCTCCTCATTGACATACACCCTCCTGAAAAGAGCCTTGAAGACCTTGATGGCCATAAAAGCCATGGTTCTGACACCTTTGAGGTTGAGCAGGTGGGCCATGTCCGTGTACATCAACTCTGCCTCCTTCCTCAACAGGGCTTCCTTCACCTTATCCTCCCCAGACAACTGAATAATAATCAAACATAATTTTGAATAAATTTATGGTAAATAATTTTATATATATATGAAAAATTTTTTCACATTATATCAGAAATTAAAAAACCATGGTAGATTATAACAAAATGAATTAAGCACAAACTCGTTCTATTGTGTATTTCAATCGATCACTACTCAACACATCAGTCTTCAACTTGCTGTAATTTCTTGGGCTGTGATATTTATAGGTTGGAACATTGTGGAATGACTTGAAGGTGAAACCCAGGTCCAAATCACCCCTCCGTTCTTGCAGGATGTCTCGATAGCCATCCTTGAACAATGCCAGTGATGATGGATCTGTTGGGGGTTCTATTAAAAATTTACAATCTTCAATTTTTTACATGTCACACATTTATTTTCTAAGGATAACAAAACAATAAAACATTATTTAAAAGATCAAAAGTTGATTTAATTAAAAAAATTAATTAATTAGCATAGCCTAACAGACACTAAGACTAAACAAATCAAACATTTTAAAGTTAAACACATCCATCGACCTATTTCTTTAATAAAAAATTACTATTGGTATTGCTAGAATTAATTTTTATAAAACAATCATATGAACGAAATTGTAAAAATGTGCATGTGCTGTGCAATTTTTGTATAGAGAAAAAAAATTGTAGCAAAAGATGGAGCCCAAACCATTTTTGATCCATGAGCTGTCAACCGAAATGCCTGACATAACTACAATCTCTAAACAAATGTCCCCTCACTAATTTTTTCAAAAAGTCGGCAGCAAAATTATAAATAGTTAAATTAGATTAAAGAATAAGCATAAGCTGATAGGATTAACACAAAACGTAAGTGACGTTTGATCGACTGATCGGACCATTGTAGATTAGAGATTAAAATTCCTGATTTTACTTGCAAAATATATAGAAATTAACAGCAGTGAGTTATTAAAATAAAAAAATAATAAATTGCTAAATAATGTTCAATTTATTTTAATTATGTAAATATTTCTATTATATAATAATTTAAAGTAAAATTTAGTTTTAGTTAACAAAACAGCTGATTGATTTAAAAATGAATTTAAGTTCACAAAACTAAAAGTTAATTTTATATCCCCAAATGCATACAGTTCGTTTTGATGTTCTGTCTGTTATGGCCCCTAACCGAAACTTTAATTGATTTTTCTAATTCCAGGTAATATGAGTTTTTAATATATAATTTTTGATCTTAATCATCTTAATCCGTCATTATTATACTCTACCATACAATATGCACAAACTTGATTAAACTACTAACTAAAAAAGTAAAAAACTAAAAAACTAAAGAAGCTGATGGCTCTGCAAAAAATTCTGGAAAACGTTCGTTCATTTTTACAGCTTCTAATAACTGCAAAGAATGATGTCATCAGTTGGAATGAACAGTCTTACAGAAATGCCTTTAAGTGGGCTGAATATTGTCATAAAGTACAATTCTATTTTTCAGAATTATATTTTTTATGTTTTTATAATTTATAATATAATAATACTGGTAATGTAGTTGGTTATATTTGATTATGAACTTTTTGAAACCATATTTTTTGATGTATGTGTGTTTTCTTTTTTATTGTAGATATTGTAAAACATGTAATGTTAGACTCTTTGTAAAAGAATTGTTTGTGTGTTTCAAGATATTTTCACAATCTGAAGGCAAACCATATAAGGCACAGTTAGACAATGAGATTAAAAAGATTCCAATTAGTTATGCTGCTGGTAGGATGAATTCCGGAAATATGAAAGTTGAATTAGACCTATTTAAAAACAGCATTCATCTGTTAACTATGGTTTGTAATGCTTGAAGAAATAACTTATTTTTTTAATTTTTTGTTATATCTGAAAATATAACGTTTTTTTTATGACAATTTTTAAAATTTTTGAAAATTTGACATTTATTTCTTGTCAGTTTTTAGTTTTTAATGAGTCTGTTATGATGGGAAAAGAATGTCTAGAAGTTGTGAGGGAATATTTTGATGAATCAACCATACCAAAAGTTAATATTTCATTTTTATTTCAGATTTTTATCTAACAAATAAAAAATTAAACAATTGATAAAATTATAATTATTAATTATCAGTTGACGAACATTCATTCGAAATGGCATGACCTACAGAGGAATACTGACAGCATTGATGTATCTACCACACTACTCATCAATTTGTTACTGACTATTAGTTCTTTAGAATTCTGCCAATCCGAAAATATCAGGTAGTACTTTTTTATTTCAATCATCCTAAATTTAATTTTTACTTTTTTTTTATATTAGTATGTCTATTTCAATGTTGTCTTATACTCAAAACATACCAGGTTATTAATATTGTTAAAGTGAAACTTGATTAAATCTCATTTGAGTATAAGCTAACCACATGTATATACATGCAAAAGCTAATCACATGCAAATGTCTGAATTTTTTTTGAAACCCCATCCTATCAGCATTAGGTGGGGGAAAATAGGGTGGGGTTTGGTTTGTGATTGAATGCTAATATAAGGTTAAAATTTGATGTTCTTTGCAGATGTTTAATTAAAGAAAAACTATCTCTATTAATGAAATCTAAAAATGGATTTGTAAGGAAATATCGTTTATTTATTTCAAATTGTTTTCTATTTCACTATTAATTGCACTTTTCACTGGCCTAGTTTTTGAATAAATTGTAAAACAAAAAGAAAATACATTTTTTTTATTAATACATTCGTCAGATAACACTTGGAGAATGCTACAATACATTGTTGAAACTCAGAAAGTGCTCTACATGTCTTAAATTCATAACTGCCTTTCAATTAATTCAATGCCTTTTACCAGAATTTTATAACAGGTTTTTGGTTTTATTTTCATACAATTAAATTCAACTACTGATTTATGTTTCTCAGTTAACTTGTGAATGGCGTAAATTATTAAATTGAAATTTTTCAATACATTTAGCTACATTATACTCATTTATATTTCCCAATATATTTCAGTGCTCATGATTATGAAAAAGAGTTTTTAAACTTATGCCTCAGAGATGAAAGCATTTTGCGAGATTTTTCGGATTATTTAATCAAGTAATAAAATTAGTTCTAAAATTTCTAAATTATCTTTATTTTGAAATGATGATTTGATCATGCTATCAGGCTGGGTCAAACTTTCGAGATATTTTACAACATTGGAAAATCGGAGATGGATTATTATTTTGGATGGAGGTGAGTTAAATGATGATTATTGAAAGTCTTAATCTTTTAGTATCTGATCTGTTTGCAGTTAATGTGTGAGCTTTCACATTTTTATTATCATTTTATTTATAATAAGATACGAGTAGGATGCAGTTATTAAAAGATACAAATAAATTACCTACCTGAAGACTTATTGTCGGGTGTGTATTTGCGTTTGAACCTCGACAACACATGTTGGCGTGTAAATTTCACCCACTGTTGCAGCTAACTCGCCGACTATTGTTTTATTTGCATAGATTTTTTTCTTCGTTTAGCCTCCTTACTTATTTAGTGACATATTTTCCATTTCGTTTTGTATCACTAACATTTTTAAACCGTCAGGAATGGTGACGACAATGGCATGTCGTATGAGACGATGCTAAACTGGTTTGACGTCTTGATACACGAGTCAAATAATGATGACGTAATAATGTTGACGTCACAAACTCTATCACGTGCCGCCAATGAATCTGACGTCAACGTTTTCAGAACTATATGCAACGAATTAGGAAAATTTGATTTTTTGGAAGAGTGGATATTCAATTAATTAATTTTTCGTTATTCAGTCACTATTGATTTATCATCGTTATTATTTTATATTATTATTTAACCATATAATTAATTTTAATTTAGGTTATAATTTAACCTCATTTTTGTATTATATCGTTATGCATTGTGTGAGACGATTTTATTAACGCAATAAAAATTATTGAGTTCTTGGTATTTTTTTCTTGGTATTAACGTGAATAATTATATGTTGGTGTGAATATACGAAATAGTTGAATAAGTATTATTTATAAGCATTGTCACTAACTTTTTTTTTATAACTTTGTTATAATTAATTTCATTACAAATATTTTCAGTTTTTAAAATCATAAAAATTTCGTTAATGAATGTAACTGAGATGAGTGAAATCTTCTTCATCATCGTTTACTTAGAATCATTTGGTCAAATTTTACAATACCGATTCCAACTTATACTTTTTTGGAATTGAATGAATGAATGATTGATTGATTGATTGATTGACTGACTGATTGATTGATTGATTGACTGACTGATTGATTGATCGACTGATTGATTGATTGACTGATTGATTGGTTGATTGTCACCTTTTAACCAACAAAGATTCCAGTAAAAAATAAATAATAAAACAACCCTTCGTTTTATTCACTGGTGATTTTTATTGTAGGGCCAAAGTAAATTCATTTTTCTAAATTTTTTATTAAAATAAAATGATCCGCTACCACATAACTACGATGTACGAAATGAATTAAGAAATGAATATTAATGTCGGATGTCACTTTTCGTCTATTGAGTTATGCTGAAACTATTGCGCAATGGTGTTTAGGTGGTGGGAAGCAAGTACTGCGTGATGCAAACGTTGGAAATCATTTTGTGTAGTAACCAGAGAGGAGGTACCTTCTTGTGCAAGTTCGTCTTTCAGTAAAACGTTCACACAGTTTCTAATTTTTCTACTTCGTAATTCTTACTTAACAGATTAATAATACTAATTAATAATAATCTACTCTAAAACTAAAACTCTCAGCCTGCCTCTAAACTAAGTTGCTAAATCTAACTAACCAACTAGATTACTAAATTAATTAGTTCAATTTTTGATGGACAGAACAGAGTTTTAATTTTCTGCTGTTAAAGTTGAACAATTTTATAAAGTATAATTATTAATTATTTAGTAACTAAGTTCAGGTTGATATCCTGAAAATTATATATATAAAATTTATTTTTTATATTATATTATAAAAATATGCAATATAATAATTATGTTTTCTTTTTTTTATTTTCTTTCTCACTTGTATAATTTTAATTTAATAATTAATATAATCAGAAACAGAATATAAATTCTAAATGAAATTAGATAACATTTTGACGTAATATTTAATAAATGCCAGACAAAAGTCAAAACAGCAATAGTTTTATGTTAATCTTAATGTTATTTACCGAATTTCAATTAGATAAAAAAGTTTTTTTCTTAAATAATTCATCAAACAATGAGTCTCGACATCATTTGTCTCTTCAAAGAGGTGAGTGCTGGTTGTGTGTGTTCATTTCATTTTAGGTGCTTTATTCTGGTAAAAATTATTTAATATTATTTAAGTTATCAAGATGATCTTCCAGTTATCTGTTATAACAATTACTAATCAATATTTTTTATTATAGGTGTTAGAAAAAGAACTAACAAAGAAGCCTGAGCTTATGGTTTTACCAGAAAAATCTCTCCATGAGTTGCTTGCCCCATCTAGACAGTCTGGTGAAAATGAGGATGTTAGTAGGAAGGGCATATTTGGCTACCCATCTCGACCACTCTATAAAGATTTAGGCGAAAAGTTTAAAATATGGATGGAAACTGGGTTAGTTAATCAAGTTTTTTATATCTTTTATTTTTCACTTATAGGATTTTTTTGTTGTTTGTTGTAAATAACATAAAATTTCACTACTTATCTCAAAATTTGGAATTATTAATCAATAATTAGATGAATAAATTGAAAAAATATGTAATTAAATTTTAAAAATTATTTAATTTACTTCAAAAAGGAAATGTCCTATTGAAGAACTACCAAATTTTGAGTTGTTAGATGAGAAAGATTATGTTAATGAAAGGTTGATAAAAAATTTGTTTATTTCCAGTTTTTTATTTAAACATTTTGTGATATGTTCATCAGTCATCTGTAATAAAATTGTCTCAAACAATAATTCATAATTTTTTTATTCAAAATACTGCTTAAATAGAGGTAATTTATTTTTCTTTTTTTATGATTAAATAAATTTTATAAATAAATTTTTTAAATATACAGATTAGAAAAAATGTGTCAGATAACACCGATTTTGGAAAAATTGAAATCCTTGCATGATCTTCTAAGCAGAGATGAAATATCTTTCTACATGAGAGAAATCATCAAGGTTTTGGTTCAACTTATTTTACATTTCATCAGCAAAATTTTCAAAGTTTTATCAAATTGATTCCTTCTACTTCTGCCACAAATATTTTTTCAATAAATCATTATATTTGATCTTATTTATCTTTAATAAATGTAATACTCCTACAAAATATATACATGCACTTTATGATATTCTATAGTTTGGAGGAATACTTTCATAAAAATTATCGATTTTTTTTATAGATTATGAAAATATTACCACGAAATTTTCGACAAGGATTGCCCCATCATATTTTGCATTTATATGTTATACAATGACCCAATTGCTTCCAATGACCCAATTGCTATAGTTCAATTTCTGTGATATAATTCTATATCTTATTATAACTAGAGTTTCAATAACGCAAATAGACTCCTTTGTTGATGATAATTGATACCTAAAAAATTTAACCGTATAAAAATTTATTCATAATCAATAATAAGAGTTATATATGGTTTATGGTGCCGACGTGAAATGATGCTAGATTTTAGGCAAGAGAGGTTTACTGGATTTGTTGGGAATGAGGAGAACAGTGGGCAGCAGGGACAAGTGGCCCCCAGACAGATTCGTTCTGGTGGAAACGTTCTGTAAGAAAAATAAGTAAATAATGATAATAATGATGATAGTGATCATAATGATGATATAAATGATGTGTGTATGTGTGATGAAGATGATGATAGAGACAATATGATGATGGTCTTCGTTAGAATGATGGTTTTAACGGTGATATGAATTACCTTACAACGGTCATCACCATCATGATTATTCATCGTCATCATCTTCAGTCCGGATTCAAACTCCGTGCTGACGGTGGGAGGAAGGGCACTGACCAAACACAGCCATAGGGATCACACATCCAGTTGGTGGGGCATTTGCAAAGGCAGTTAGTTTTCATTACAACTCCATACACTCGTTATTCATGCTTTTAGTTTTTTTTTTACGTCTTTTGTTTTTAAAATGTTTAATGAAAATTTTTCTTTTCGTTACTTTATTCAAGTTTACTTTCACGTAAGGCGAACAAGATAAGAACGATCACGCATTTAAGAAGATGACGGAGATAATGGACAGTGCAGCTTGGATGAATGTACACGAACTGCCAGTAGGTTCTTTTAATATTTTTAGGTTATTTTCAGTAAATTATTCATCATCATTCTTCTGATGAAATGTTCAATCATTTTATTATTTATTCTTGTTTCTCATTCAATTTCAAGCGTTATAAAGTAATGTGGGCTGGCTGTTAATCATTAGATGATGACCAATGATTTCTCTTTCATTAAATGCAACTATTTATTTACACGAAAGGGTGAACTGCCGACAATTGAGATCAGACAGAAAAATGGTAACTTTGATTGTTATTAGTTTTCATTCAATTTAGTTCTGCCTTATTTATTTAATCCATTTGGTGTCGTGGTTAAGAATTTCTTGTCACCCTGCTTTGATCAGTAACATAACAACATTGAATTGAGGAATGTACCGTTGCAGGATATGGAGTGAGATGGACGTGTGATGGCGCCGAGTTCAGGGGGTTTGTGGAGCCCCAGATGGCTGATGGACACGTAGTTGGTTGGATTCATTGAGTCCCTCAGCAAGAAAGCTGTTTTTAGTCGTCAAAGATCACCGGTCATGAAATATTAAACTTTCACGCTTATGTTATGTATATCTGATAGTGATATATCACATTTTCAATTATATTTGTGCGATTGTAATAATTTTTTTTTCATTTTGTTTTCATTTTTCGTAGTGTTATAGTCATTTTGACAATGTTAACTGTTTGTTTAAATGTTGTTTAACTGGGATTTATCGAGATGAATGTGATATCTTTGAAAAAAATTAATGCGTTTACGTTTTTTGTGTCAGAAATTTAAACCTGTTAAAGCGTCCAAATAGCGGGTTCAATTTTTGAAAGCGCGTTTATACTACATTCGGGGGTTCGTCAAGTATATACGACATATTTGAACTTTTTCAGCTTATTCTTCCCTACCTACATGGAATTAATATCGCCAGGGCGATATTATATTAAGTTTAAAAGTGCAAAATTCTCAACGCATCAGGGTTTGGTGTGAAATGGTCAATCGGTGGTTAAATAATTTGGGTAACTCAAACCTCGGTTTGTCATACTCATCTTGTGTTCTGTAAGCCAACAGCCAGCCAATGAAAACCTTGAAAACGATCATGAAGGTATATATTTTTGATCACGTTTATTATACATGAATACACAATAATGAATGCAATTATGTTTAATAATGTAAAAATTTAATAGTTAAACGCATCATTATTAATATTGTTCGCACACGCACAAACACACTCCGACACATTGTATATATACACATATTTTTATTTATTAATTATTATTTATTTATTACTTATTATCTATGTTTTATTAATTATTATTTAGTTAATTGATTAATTAATTCACCTAGAACATGAGACGAACGAAATAAAAATATAAGTTTAAGTGCTTTCAAACAATAGTGGCATTTCATTTCTGCGTTCAACCACAGCCAAATAATGAATAATGAGACAACCAATTCAAAAACATTTAGGAACGTTTTGTTTTTGAAGATAGTGTTTGATAATAACTTGGCAAACAAAATAGATTTTGATTAAAATCGGACGAAGACGCCAAATTAACTAAGGTAGATGACTCTAAACCTCAGCGGGGACAACCCAACTTCATAAAATTAAAAAATGAATCATAAGTCGCAGTCGACAACGTCAGCTTCAACACCGGCAGTGGAGTAGGGAATGCTGAAATTCACTTTCGGTGCCCGCTGCGATGTGGGGGTTTGAATGTTGCTAGCATCATTTGGTTGGCGCGATTTGTTTCTGTTATGACTGCTACTGGATGACACTTTTTGACGTGTGATTGAAGTGCTGCTGTGCTTCCTCGTCAAACTCCTCGGAACCATAGTTGAAAATTTGTTCTCTGCTCTTTTGAAATTATTTTGGTCTTTAGAAGGAGCGTCGTCGTTATTACTGCTGCTGCTGTTGTTGTTGTTGACGTTGTGGTTGCTGCTGCTGCCACTGTTGCTGCAGTTAACGGCGTCTCTAAGATTATTTTCATTCTTATTGGGATGATCGTTGGCTTCTGATATTTTGTTAACATGGTTAGCACGGCGAATTGTGTTGTTGATGTTGTTAACGTTGTTGTTGTTGTTGATGTTGTTGTTATTGTTGTTGTTGTTGGCGTCCATCAATTGTGTTTTCAAGCCGGACGGACTCAGAGGGTATAAAATCATTGTTGTGTTGTTTCCCTGGCTACTGAACATTCTCGTATATTTCAGCGTCGATGATTTTGCTGCTAAAAAATGTTGCTGTGGCAGAAGTGGATGTTGTTGATGTTGCGATTGTTGTTGTTGTTGTTGTGGGTGTTGCTGATAAAATTGTTGCTGTTTCGACGGCTGCTGATGTGAAATTCTATCGGGAGAGGGAAGAAGAAAAAGTGTCGTTTGTTGCTTGGCTTTGTTGTAGTATATTTTGTTGTTGCTGTTGCTGCTGTTGTTAGTGGTGTAGTGTTCTTTGTTTAGGCTAACATTGCTACCAAATTTTGTGACGGCGTTGTTGTTGTAGGCGTTGAAAGTGTCATCATAGTTGCTTCTGTTTTTGACGTCATTGTTAAGATTTGTTTTGTTGCTGCAACCTTCATGTAGGTGAATGAGTTCAGAGTTATGATTGGCTGATGTCGATATTTTACTTAACCAATGAGAACCTCTGGGTGGCGGGGGAGGAGGGGGTAGAATGCGTTCTCGTTCTTTATTGGCTGGCTCGTTAGCGTTATCGATCTGGAATTGGATGATATTTTAAATACTTAAAAAAATGGGACATCATTTCTGTTAGCGATGACGAAATTTAATTTCTAAATGACGTCATCACAACATAAAAGGCAGCCAGTTCCAACAATTCACTTCTCCCTCAGGCCTAAGCAGACGATCCAATTAAATAAAATGCATAGAAAGGCAGAAACTTTTAAAAGAAAAAAAGAAATGAACGGTAGTGATTGAATGAACGTATGAACGAAAGAAAGAACGGAATGAAAGAAACTGCCGACAATCAATCCTCTAATCAGTTCAATCATTCATTCAATTCTCCTGGCCACCTAGCGAACACATTAAATAATCTCATAGTTCTCGCGCCATATTAACGTTCAACTCATCCATCTTGCCTTCCATCGTTCCTTCATTCAAGGTCTGTAAATCACGCTTTGGAGAGCGCTTCAGTCGGCGTGAGTCTATTTGTTTTTTGTTTGTTTGCATGTGCGTGTGCGTGTGCGTGCGTGATTGTGTATATGTGCTTAAGTGTATGTCCCAATATTCTTTAATGTATGTACGCTAATGTTATTCCATATATGCAATGTGCTTGTGATGATTTTTATATTTCTGTTGATCAAATTGATTTTTAATTTATTGATTAGGTTAAAAACTGATCGCTTGTTCTTCATTTCATGAAAGTGTATGTGTGTGATATGAAATGAGTAAACGTTGTTCAAAATATTTACTTACACATACACACACACCACACACACACACACACCACACACACGCAAACACACACACGAACGCGTTCACTCAGGCATGTTGTTTTTTTTTATTCACTCAGTCATCCACCCGTTTATTCATTCATTCATTCATTCATTCATTCATTCATTCATTCATTCATTCATTCATTCATTCATTCATTCATTCATTCGTTCGTTCGTTCGTTCGTTCGTTCCTTTCTTCCTTCCTTCGTTCATTCATTCATTCATTCATTCGTTCTTTCGTACGTTCATTCCTTTCTTCCTTTCTTCGTTCATTCATTCATTCATTTATTCATTCATTCATTCATTCATTCACTCATTCATACACTCATTTACTCAAGTCTCAGAAGGAAATTGATTCCAGACTGCCTGCATCTTCATGCCAAGTTAGCGCATTTCAAAATTCATCTATCAGGATTAATGTCTCCCAAATTTGCTTACCTACTTCCTATCTACAATTACACACACACACGCACACACGCGCACACACACATACGTTTAACTGCAAACGCACATATAAAGGCACGAATGAGTAAGTTTATTTATGATTCGTGCTGATAAATTCACTAACTTTTTATACTGCTGCTTATGTGGGGTCACATTAACTAAATTTATCACATATAATTGTTTTTGCTGTTTCTTATTTTTTCTGATATATTATTATATTTTCTTCCCTGATATATTTAATGGCGAAGATTTTAATTTTATTCTTTTTAATATTATTCAATATTAATTGATGGACACTTAACTTTTTGCACTGCAGAATGACGTCATAAAACAAAAAATTCGCCCTCTGGTTTGGAAGGAAAAGAAAAAAAAATTTCATCACCACGTCGTCATCATCATCTTCATCATCATCGTCGTTATCATCATTTTCATCATCATTAACATTATGATCATCGTCGTCGTCGTCGTCGTCATCAGCATCTTCATCATCATCTTCCTTATCATCATCATTTTATTCATATACACCACCATTTGATGTCATCTTTCTTGCTATTACAACCATCATCATCATTATTATATCGTCGTCGTCATCATTATCATCATCACCACCAACATCATCACTCTCATCATCATCTTCATCATAAACTTTAGCCACTCACTTATTACCGCCAACTGGACCACCACAACCGCAATATTAATTCAACACCCTGAAACAACAGCAATACGGGAGCGTTGGTAGTAAACAACATTTAGAAGAAAAACAACAATAACAACAACAACAACAACAATAATAACCATAACAATTATATTAACAATAATAATAATAACAATAACAACATTAATAATAACAATAACTTTTCTTTCAGAAGAAATGTGCAAATGCCAATTTTTTCACTGCTTGGATGCACCTCAATCCCACTAATGAACTGAACCGCATTGATAACTATATATACAACTGTGTTTGTGTGCGTGTGTACGTGTGAGTTTGTGTGGGTATGCGTGCGTGTGTATGCGTGCGTGTGTATGCGTGCGTGTGGCCAGTGGTGTACAAACAACGTACCTTTATGGAGACTCTCTCTACTACCCTTTTCGCTTTCGCATACAAAATTATTCAAGAACTTTTTAGACATTACGTACTTTCAAACAATCTGATAGCATTTTTTGTTCAATTTTCTTACAGAACTGAATAAATGAGATTGAATTATGTTATCAAAGATATTGTATGAAAATGTTTTGAATTTGCTTTTTTTGGGGGTTAATTTAATAAACGCACACAACCACAAACACGCACGCTCAACCACACACACGCAACTATTTGCGTACACAAACACACCGACAAGTGTACAAACCACATGCACACACAAACACTTTCTCTCTCTCTCTTTCTCTCTCCTCTCTCTCTCCTCTCTCTCTTTCTCTCTCCCCCCCCTCTCTCTCTCTCTCTCTCTCTCTCTCTCTCTAACACACATTCACACACATACACGCACATACACACACGGCAACTTTCAAAAGCACACAAACGACCACATGAAAAAGTTTTTCATGTCCGGGTTAATAATTTTGTAACAATTTTCTAGAATCGAATCATTTTATTGCTCAAACAAAAAAGTTCGCTTAATTAGTGGTGAAGAATGAAATGTGTTTTGGTTACCAATTAAACACGAACTACAAAAAAACAATGTATGATTTCGTGTTTCAATATCTACTACAAGTTAACTCTTTTGATTAGGTTCACGCCTGCGTGCTGATTGCTACGGAACGTGTAAACGTGTACATTTGTACCTGCGTCTTCTTTCATTAAGACATTTTTTCTAATAAAAACAACCTCAAAATGTTATGAAAAAAAAATTTCTTACGATGATTCAAAAAAAGAAGAACATAAATAAAGAAATAAAATGAAGCAAAGGAATGCGTGATGAAAGTTCCGACGTTCAGAGTTCGATACCATCCTTCAAAAGCGATTTGTTTTCCCCTCAAACACATTTCTTCAAACAAGTATAAAACCACTAAACTGAACTATTAACATTGCTCCACGAATGCTACTACTACTACAACTACTACTCCTACCACTATTACTATTACTATTACCGCTACTGCTACTACTGCTGCTGCTGCTGTTATGTGTGTGTACGTATGTGGGCATATGCTTGTATCCGCTTCTAACTCGCATATATGAATTTGTATATTCATTCATTAAACTATTTTCTATATCTTTTAAGTCGAAAGAAATAAAATAAAATGGCATGTTTCTATTTGTATAAAGTTGCTTAGCAAGGAAGTGTGTGCTGTGTGTGTGTGTGTATGTTGGAGAGATGCTGAATGGATGAAACATCATCATTCTTTGGAACGTTGTAGAGGTTGAAGACGTTTCATCAGAGATTGCTGGCGGCAACATGCAGTGAATTGTTAGTACGTCTGAATTATAGTTAGTATGAGAAAAAAAATTAATTTCATATAATTCAATAACGTTTTAACTTACACTTTATTAATGAAATTTTAAATTCTCAACAAAAAATAACCCTGAATTGAATTAAATTTCTGAAATTAAACAAAAACTTGCACTAATACAGAGGTACACACATCCACACACAACAGTACACACACAGCAGTACACAAAACCTCAACATAACCAGATACACACAAGTGGAAAATTGTAAAACAAACAAATAAAATAGAACAAACTAGAGAACGATGTCATAAGCAAGCGTATACAGGCAACCTGTCAGAAATGCGGACATATAAATGCGCAAGTTATTGATTTATAAGATCAAGTTCTCTTGCAAAACGTCACGCAACGAAGAAAATCAATCGCTTACGTACGCACGCATTACGTAATTTACAAACGCGCCTGGATACCCAATTGCGTTATTTATGCGCACATCTGTTTGCGCGCTTGTGTTGCTCTGTATGTGAGTGTGTGTTTGTGTATCTGTTTGTTTGTGTATCTGTGTGTGTGTTTGTGTATCTCTTTGTGTGTGTGTGTGTCTTTGTGTATCTGTGTGTGTTTGTGTATCTCTTTGTGTATCTGTGTGTATGTGTATCTGTGTGTTTGTGTGTGCTGGCCAGTTTATACTATAAACTCTTGGGTTTTTAATTTATTTTGACCTACTTGCTCAAAGACATAAATAAAAAAAATAATATGGCATAAACTTAAACGCGCCTAGATATGTCTATGCACCTATTTGTATGCCCGTACTCACGTACTTAATATGTACGTCCAACATACACACACACGCACACAAACAAACACACATACACACACATACACACACAAACACACACACGCACACGTCAACAACAAACAGAGAAACTGGTAAATCGTAATTAATGTCTCATGTTGGCCTCCAAATAAATGTTTGTATATGATGATATAATTCTTCACGAATTAGCGCGAGTGAATAGGCATCGGTAGCGTACAGACATTATCACACGTACAGCAAACAACTAACAAATTTGCACGTTCATAAACACCCACATACACACACACACACACACACACACAAACACAAACAAACACACACGTACTATGCACACTTACACACATATGCACGTTTACAAAAGAATGAAGTAGAAAGAGAGGGAGAAAGAAAGAAAGAAATAAAGAAAGAGAGAAAAAAGAAAAAGAAGGAGAGAGAGAGGGAAAGTAGAGTGAGAAAGAGTAAATGTTCATAAAGGTTGAGAACACACAGAACTCTGCACCTGTGAAAAGGTCCTCAGATGCCAAACATACAATCTTCTGATTTATTGCTTCACAAATTGTCCAAATAACAATTAATTAAAAATAAAAATGTTTGAAAAACGTAGAATGTTTTTATTATTTAATTCTCATCGTTCATATATTGAAAATACGTAAGACCAAATTTGTGATTTATATCCGTAAATCAACCGAATGTTATTTTTCAAAAATACGGCCAGTAAAAGCAAAAAAAGTCTGACAGTAATATTAAAATGTAGTAGAACTATTGATAATAAAAACTTTTGAATAGCTGCTCACAAATTTGAATGAATGGACAAATAATTGGAATAAAACTCAAATTAAACTAGCAGCATTATCACTCATATTTTGATAAAAGTCTCGCTACTTTCACAGGCATCTTTTTCTATTTCTCCATTGAATAAAATATAAAAAGAAATTTTTATCACCAATCTGAGTGAGCTGAAGCAATCTAATCACATTGACAAGAAAAAAATGACTCCGTTTAATCAAATATTTCACGTTTTTTAGCGTTCATTTATTATAAAATTCAAAATATTTGTTTCATTTTTTAAAATTTATATAAACAGAAAAAATTTGATATGATCAGGTTTTACCCAAACATATATTCCATTTGCACTTGACCAATACTTTGTTTGAGAATTTTTTTCAAATTTCAAAAATTTTTTCATTATTTTATTTTTCAAGAAATTCAATATAGAGTAAGTTACACGCTGTTGAACGTATCATTTTTCGAAAACTTCTTTCAAAAAATTTTGAAATTCTGTACTGAAAAAACTTAGACCTCAAATCTTTCAAGGACGTTCAAAATTTCAAGAAAAAAAAAATCGTGAGCCAAGCAGATGATTGGTGCTTCATTTACCGATATTTTTCAAAGTTACCGTGAAGTAGGAATGATAGAGAGAGAGAGAGAGAGAGAGAGAGAGAGAGAGAGAGAGAGAGAGAGAGAGAGAGAGAGAGAGAGAGAGAGAGAGAGAGAGAGAGAGAGAAAGAGAGAGAGAGAAAGTGAGAAAGAAATAGAGCAGAAAATGAGAAATTGTTCTAACAAGCAGAAGAAATATTTCAGTCACGTCCTCGTTTTGGCTTCATTCTGGGGTTGCTTTTAATTAAAACCTCACTTCCGTTATCACCATCAATTTCCACCGATGTCATCAACGTTGTCTTCATTCTCCTCCTCCTTCTCATCACCATCTTCTTTTCTTTTCCCTCACCATCATCTCTCACTTCATCTTCACCATCCATCGACGTTATCACCACGTACTTCCACAACACCAACTCTACCATTATCATCATCCACTTCATCATGACCATCATCTTCATCACCATATCGTCGTCTCCATCATCGTCGTCGTTGTCATCATCCTGTTCGCCATTCAAGCGTACACCCATAATAAAGTTAGTCACCCTGGCGTTGCAATTATCATTAGCCGCGACACAAAAAACAACAAACTGCACATAAAAGTTTTTTGACGTTGCCTGTTGTTGTTGTCTGCTGTTGTTATTTTGGTTTTGTTGTTCTCATGTTTCTGCTGTAACTTTTGTTGATTACTATTATTACGTTGTCTTTGCAGTTTGGTTTTTGGCTGTGTTATGGTTATGCTGGTTTAAACCTGTTGACAACAGTTTTTATTAGGCTATTTTATTGTGGTCTGTTGATTCTTTGTAGATTTTAGATATTATCTGGGATACATATACCAAAATATTAATACATAATTAGGTATTTGTTTAATAAGGAATTTATGACTTAGAATGTTGAAATTGAACCTTCATAAACCAGCAAAAAACTCATATGTACCCTTCTATCTTGAACATTTCTCGACTAATTTAAACAACAGGCCGTTAAAAGCAAACCACACACTGTGATTTATGACGCAACCAATCTATTAGAGACATGTTTATAACTACACCGCCCGCTACCACCACCACCACCACCATTCCAGCGCTACCAAAGACCACCACATGCATTTTATTGCACCCATAAAGGACAGCGGAAATAGTTCGTTAATGGCGCCAAATGGTTCTTTATTCACTTTTAATCAGGCTTACGAGCAGCTCTGACGTCATCAGTGATCACGTGCTCCTCTGTTTATTCTTCATTTTTTAAAGATATTTATATCCTTAAATATAATATACATTATCAATATTATATATATATATATATATATATAGATATATATAAGAACCATGATATATATATATATATATATATATATATATATATATATATATAGATATATAAGGACCATGTTATCAATACGTATTGAATTAAGTCACGCAGTTTGGCGTAGCAATTAACTGACGTACGCGTAGACCGTACACCCACCGCACCACACTGCACCACACCACACCACACTAGCCACACCACATCAGCCACACCAAACCACACTGCACCACACCACATCAGCTACACCACACCAGCCACACCACACCACACCAGCCACACCACACCAACCACACCACACCAGCCACACTACGCAACACCACACACCACGCCGAAGGAATATAAATTTATTTTAAAAAATAATCCAAATATTAGAAGTTATATTACACTTGTGTACACTTATACGCACATATGTTTTTTTAAACACACACAGGCACACACGTACATAAATACACACACACACCACACCACACGCACACACCACACACACACCCATACCACACACATACCACACATACCACATACACATACCACACACACACACACACACACACACACACACACACACACACACACATACACACATACACACGCATACACATACTCACATAAATTTATATACAGAGTTGTTATTTATTGACGTCTTGCTAGGACTTCGACATGTCGTGATATTGAGGTTTTAGTATCAATAAGCAACATGTTGTGTGTTTTAGCGTTTTGTATCTGTTTGTGTGTATATGTTTATGTTTTTGTGTGCGTGTGTTGGTGTGTTTTTATTCAGTGTTTATATGTTGATACATTCCTACTTATAACACTCCAAACACTGATATTATAACGTAACATCCAAACATCCATCAAATCATTTATCCGTATATCCATTTATATATCCATAAATCAAAGATGAATGAACAAATAAATGAATGAGTGAATGAATGAATGAATGGGTAGATGAATTGTATGTGAGCAACAAGCTTTGTCATCACCGTTTCTTAGGTTTCAAGCAGCGAATATTCACTCCATTATTCCAGCGAAATGGAAAATCAATTTGAAAAAAAATAAAATGATGAAATGAGAACAGGAAATTAAACATTGAAAAAAACCAAAAAAAGATGACAAAAGAAATTTTAAAAAAAATGCCATAAACAGAAGACACAAAGATTATAAAGATTCGTCTGAATTACATCTGAACAAAGCGTTAAATTAATTATTAACAAGTCTACGAAAAGCCAGTCAAATAAATCACTTTTTGCTTCACACGCACACGCATGAAACTACGCCTGCGTGTGCATGGGAGTGTTTCTATCAAAAATTTATAACACATTGAAACAAAAACCAGTTAAAACAAAAACACTGACTTTAACATTTTATTATCACGTATCTCTACTGACATTGCATAAACCCATATTCACGTGCAAACAACACACCAACATAAAATACGACTTGCAAACACGCGCACGCACATGCAAGCAGACACACGCGCACGCACACCAACAAAAACATGAGTCGGCAATCTTGTTTTAATGAATGCCTCTATAAACAACGCATGTTCTACTGCACACGTGTTTGCATGGTGCAAATAAACTTTGCGTAACGTTCTTTCGACTGCGTAAGAAAAAATAAACAATAATGACTAGTGAGCAATGTACGTAGACAAACATATGCAGCAGCCGCGCAATAATTCACGCATGTTCCTGCTTCAAAAAACATACCAACCAACATAAACCTATTCATATTTACCAACATACATACAAACAAACAAGCAGACAAGTATCATGATATACAAGTATCATAAATTATTTTTTCTTTCTCAAACAGATAGGCACGGATATAAAAATAACACTAACGCCAGCAAACGGATATAAAAAGTTTAGAAGCACAAATATTGAAATAAAGAAATTGTAATATATAAATAATAATTATAAAGCTTGTTTATAAGTACAAAACTATTCTCAAATAAACAGGCTACAACTTTTTTTTATCTTCAGATCGACATTGTTATCAGGTTGAAAACGCCCCCACACACCTGCACACACACACATACATACGCACACACACGCACACACACACACACGCACGCACATATAATTACATACACATACATATCAATTGATCAACACACTTAGCTCATATTAAAAAAATTACTGGCGACTGACTGAGTTAACACAGACTTCAATACATATAAGAACATTATTACAAATATGTGCAAATGATTTTGAACAATTTATAGGATTAATTACAGAGTAGTAGCAGGCGAGGCAACCACAGCGCAATATTAGCGGCCGTGCGTCGCCCACTGCATGCATGCAATGTAATCCATCTAAGAGTTCGACATTTCATTTCAACGTAAGTCAGGAAGGCTAGCAGTGTTTGTACTCAGCCTAAATGCTGCTGTTTAACATCAAAATAATTACTGATTAAGTTTTGTCGTTGCAATTAGTTCTTGAGATGATTTATTTAAAAAAGTTTTTCAAAAAATTGACTTATATGCTTATATGCATAAGATAGTATATCAGTGTATCAACATTTATAAAAATTGACACCAATGCATCAACGTATAAAATTGCTATATAAGAGCCTTTAAATGAACAGAAAATTTTTTAAACTAATGAGTAGCAAAATTAATCGAAACCAAATGCTAAGCCTAACAGATTCTTGAATCACCTAGCATCTTGTGTGTTGCATTATATAACAATGCGTCACTTTCTGGCCGAAATACAACACACTCTTCCCAAAAATACCACACAAACACATAAAGACGACGTAATTCCCTAATAAATACCTCTTAATCGCACATACGAAACGTACGAACAACTACACGCTGGTATTCACACGTACATACACACGCACACTAGTACACACGCACACACAAAACATAATGTTTTGGATATTTTAACTTTTTAAATTTTTGAAATATTAAAATATTATTATAGAAACATTACTGCAACACTACTGTTTGGCTCTGGTCATGTAGAGATAATTATTAATAAAGAAATACAAACAAAAAAAACAAAAAAAAACAAAAACGGAAAATAAAAAGCAGAAAAAAACGTAAGCGAGAGGAAAAAAATTGAAAAAAGACACACAAAAAAACAAAACCAAAAAGTAAAAATGTGTAGAAAGATATATATCTGATATTAAAAATACGCCACATAAGGTAGGTTGGAGAGCCTAATGTAAGCATTATACTGGGCGTATGGGAGATATAATTTAGGTGGGGGTGCATTCCGACGTGATGTGCTACAACTCTGCCATAAACTTTCTGGCACATGTCTATATTACGTTGTGGTGATTATGAAAATGGTGATTGGGATGATGATGGTGGTGATTGTGATGATGATGATGGTGATTGGGATGATGGTGGTGGTGATTGTGATTATGAAGATGGTGATTGGGATGATGATAGTGGTGATTGTGATGATGTTGGTGATTGTGATGATGATAGTGATTGTGATGATGGTGGTGGTGATTGAGATGATGATGATGATGGTGGTGATTGTGATGATGATGATGGTGATTGTGATGATGATGGTGGTGATTGTGATGATGATAGTGATTGGGATGATGGTGGTGGTGATTGTGATGATGATGATGGTGATTGGGATGATGATGATGGTGATTGGGATGATGATTGTGATGGTGATTGGGATGATGGTGGTGGTGATTGGGATGATGATAGTGATGGTGGTAATCGTGATGATGATTGTGATGGTGGTGATTGTGATGATGACAACGACGACAACCACGATGATGGTGGTGGTGATGCTGGTTATGATGATGATGGTCGTGATGAATATGATAATGACGATAATGATTTTGATGATGATGACAGTGATAAAGATGATTACGGTGATGAGGATTTCAACGATGATAACAATGATGGCAATTATGATGATGATTTTGTTGTTGGTGATGACGTTCTAAAAATGACTTTTAACGTAATGATGTAGAAGATGATAACCTTGGTGATGATGATGATGTTGTTGTTGTTGCTGATTTTTATACATTCAACAATAGTGATGATGGTGATGTGTAACGTTGATGATTATGACGACGGGCGCTGTTAATAATGATGTAAAAAACAAGACGGAGTCGTGTTATCTCTATTTAATGCCTCTCATTCTTCACTGAAGTATTCATTACTCCAACAGTTCACTCTCAAATTAAAAACGAGCCTTGCACAAAAAATTTTTTACCAGTTTGGCAATTACTTTTTTTCAGTAATTTTGAGATGATGTGTTTGTATGTTGGGATTATGACTATTGAATACTAGAAGTTACGGTGAACGAATGAAATAATAATTACATTTCAGTAAAATATAATTTTTTATGGCATACAAATTTTTTCATAAAAATACAACTTTGAAAGACAACTGATGTTAAAAAAAGGGATCATAGAAGAAAAAAACAAACACAACGGAACGAAACTGAAAAAGTTTCGAAAGAAAAATATTGATCTTTTTAGCAGCAGTACAATTTACTTTTTCCATTTGTCTAATTTACTCAATCAGCCATTCAGAAACATTTTTTTTATTTATCCAACTTTCAATCAGTCTATCTCTTCATCAGCTTGTGAGCGCGTCAACTTATGTATATGTGTATGTTTGTTTGTTTGTTCGCTTGTTTGTCTGTCTGTCTGTTTGTTTGTTTGTTTAATAAGGCATTCATCCTAACATTCATTCATTTTTCTATTCATGGATTAATATATGTATTAATTAATTTTAATTTTAATTTTTAAAACATTATAATAATATAATTATTCATCATTCTATACATAACTTTATTATGCTTTATACATTGAGTACTTTAATTCATTAGGTTCTTGAAACATTCGTTCGTTCGTTTGTTCGTTCATTCGTTTGTTCATTCATTCATTCATTTATTTTTATTCATTCATTCACTCAATCATTTATCAGTCTATTATTTCATCACATTATCAGTTTTTCTTTTAAAAATTTTTCTACACGGAACATGCCATTTTCAACCAAACATTCGGGCGAGTGATTCAGTTTGAACGTCAGAAATCATTACATCATTTAACTTTGCGTGGTGTGTGTGTATGTGTGTGTGTTTGTATGTGTGTGTGTGTGTGTGCGTGCGCGCGCGCGTGTGTGTGTGAACTTTCCACCGCACCGATGAATACTTCATACAAAAATATGTCTGTACAAATTACTATGCTTATATTTCGTTGTATCTAGACGTACGCAAACATACACACATATACACACCGCAGACAAACACACACACGCACTAACTCAGGACACACATATGTATGTATAAAATAATCTAATGTGAAACCTTTATGTGTGTGCACATCCACTCCCGCCCAAGGATATTTGCAGTATTTATCCACCATATGGAAAATATTTAAAATGAAAATATTACATTCCTTTCATGTATGCAGAGAATTGCACTTCATTAAATTTTTATATTCTTACGTGGCTTTTTGTTTTTTTATATATTTTATTTTTATAAACTCCAAAAGAAAAAAAAAACAAGACAAAAAGTTTTTGTATTCATTCCACAGTTTAAGCAGGGACGGATCGGTGTTTGAAATTCAAGATGCTAACAAAATGTTCAACCGGGCGGATAATTTCTTTAACCTGTTTCCGGTTCACTGAGATCCGTCTCTCCGTCCTCCTGCTCATTATAATAAATTCCTCCCACTCATAATTACAAACACCAACTTCGACATCAACAGTTACAATAACATTAACTATATCATGTTTTTAATTTTAAATCATAATACTAATTACAATGGTCATGAACGTTTATATCTCCTGTCATTTCATTATTTGCTGTCATCATCATTCCAATGAATCTCATTATTATGTTCCTTCATTTCATTTTTATAGCACCACCAAATAGCGAACACACCATGGTACGACTGTACTACGCATTTTAATTCATGTTTTCATTCTGTGCCACCATTCCATCATCATGACTGTCATTAAACATTCCAAAAAACATGGAAATAATTTGTTGCATGGTTTTACGGTATTTTAAGGCATTACATATGCTATCTTCAATGAGATAATTAAATGTGAACAAAAAATTGACTAACAAGCTGCAAGTTTGAAGAATCCATTCCGATGATGTCACAACTTCCGTCAAAAAACATGACGTCATCAGCAGCTAATGTGGATGTTTCTGTCGTTGAAGATGTTGCTGGGGCTGCTGCTGTTGTAGCTGCTGTTTCAAGTATCGTTCCATGGGAATAAGATTTTGAATGCGGCGATAAGGAATTCAAAAAAGTTGCGTAACTGAAGTAATTATTTTCGCAATTGAAATTTGTTGTCGCAGTGGTCGATGAAGCTACTTCATGTTCGACTTTCAGATTTTTGTATTTGAAACTATTCATTTTTAACAGCGTGGGCGTTGCTGAAACAATAACTGTGTTGAAGTTTGAAGTTATTGCAGTAGTAGTATAGGTAGTAGCAATAGCAGCGTTGTTTGGCGTTGTCGTGCAATAGACGTAGTTGTTGCAAGAGCTACCACCACTAAGGGAAGCTACATTTTCTTTCAACGACTTCTCATCGTTCAAGTAGTTGTCGTCAAATGCTTTCTCGCAATCGGTAGCGCATGGTTGGAATTCATCTCGCCTGCATTCGCCGGCCACCACCACACCACTTAGCAGACGTTTGCGCTTCTTCACCACGCACGTGGCAACGACGAAGAGGACAAAACAGATCAAGAAGCTCGAAGTTAACAGCGCCAACAAGATGACAGTGTGCAGAGACCTGTTGGCGTTGAAGAAAACTGAAAATAAAAAAAATGATTGCGACGAGCGGAAGTCGACTGTTCGTATTTCAACGTAGAGATGTGCTGTTGATGAAAGAGATGGGCGGCCGTGGTCTCGAGCTAAAATAATCAAAGTAATTTTCTTCATTCTTCCGCTGGCGTTTTTGTCATTATTTTTTTGAAATTTTTTTTTTTTGAGCTCCGACGGAAACGACGTCATGAATATGGCACCTGATTGGCTGTCGATGTGAAAATGGCGGGAAAGGTCGTAAATGGTTTTTTTTAATGAAAATATTGACGAGTCAGTGTCGTTTTCGATGGTGTTGTTGTTGTTAATGTTGTTGTTGACGTTACTGCTTACGCTGTTGTTGCTGCTATTGAAATTGTTGATAAGATTGAAGTCGTAGCTAACGTTGTGTTTCAAGTTAATGTGTTCGGTCTTGATGCTGTGTACATGTTTGATGTTATTGTGGTCCTGTCCATTTGAATTGATATGTTTGCTTCTGTTGTGATTGATGCTGATGTTCTGATTATTTTCATCATTCAATATGTCTTCATCATCAACATTTTTTAAATAATTAATTTTCGCTAGGTCTTTTGTAACCGAATGATCATCATTAAAAACCAGGCTCTCTTCATTAGGCAATTCCACCCTACCACCATTGCTATAGCTGTCAACATCATCATCGTTCTCCATGAAAGCAGCTTCTTCATCGTCGTCGTCATCTTCTTCATCATCACTGTCTTCATGACAACTGACCCACAACAAATCAAATGCGATCTTCCCACTGTCGCCGTCGTCTGCGTCCACGGCGACGACTTTTGCGACAAACACCGATGAATCTGCAAAATTTTCGTCAACATCAATGACGACGCTATTGTTAAAGAAATCGGGAAACAAAAATTTCGGGTGGTTATCGTTGACGTCCAATACGTTGATGGTGACGATGGTGGAGCCGCTCCAGCGTGGTGAAGCTGGATTGAAAGCCACAACGGTGAGTCGGTGTGTCGAAGTTTCTTCGCGATCCAAACGTCGCTTAACTGTTATTTGGCCGGTTTCAGTGTTCAAAGAAAAATGGCGCTTGGAAGATTTTTTAAAACTCGATGATTCAAGTAACGGTGGAGTTTGGTGGAATGATGATTGATGGAACTGTAGTTGGTCATTCTGCCGATAGGTAGCCGAATGAGAAATGGGAAATTTTTTTCCGAAAATACTAACAGTTTTATTGTTATTTATCTTTGATTCATAGTTGATATTTGAAAATTTTATTTCATTACCATATGACTTTTCATCATACATCTCAATTTCATCACCTTCATCATCATCATCCGGACCGCTATCAAAACCGTATATGAACTGATTGTACTCGGGTCCATCTCTGTCAACCGCCGAAACTGACCCAACACTTTCTGACACGGCTACATTCTCTGGAACGCTGAAAGTGTAACTCGTCTGCAAAAATTTTGGCCTATTATCATCCACGTCAATTACAGTGATGTGCACGTAGGCCGTGCCGGTCAGGGGCGGCTTGCCGCCGTCGACGGCAAAAATTTTGAAGCGAAAGTTGTCGAACTTTTCGCGATCCAGTGAAACGTGCGCGCTTATCACTGCCCGCTGGTCGATGTGGAAAAATGATGATGAAGATGGTAGAGAAGAGGACGTTGACGATGATGAGGACGATGAGGATGAAAATGATGAGGATGATGATGATGATGAGGTTGACGACGAAAATGTTAGTAACGCTGACGATGAAGACAATGGCGTTGTTGGGAATGTTGGCGTCCTGAAAGATGTCACGTCCGATGAAGGCAGTGTTGATGTTGCTAATGAAGACGATGACGATGACGATGGAGATAAGGATGATAAGAACGATGATTGTGATGACGATGATTGAGAGAGTGATGAAGATGATGACAACGATGTGGAAGATGAATTAATCATTTTAGGCGTAGATGTCAGGTTATCCAAAAGTTTTTTTGTTGTTCCTGACGGTGGCGATGACGATGAAGATGACGACGACGATGATGACGATGATAATGATGATAACGTTGATAAAGTGGACAATGATGATGGCCATAGCGGTGATAATGATGATGACAGCTCGTTGAACATGATAGCATAATCATCGTCTGTTAAGTCACGTGATATGAAGTAACGCAGTCTGCTGTTCTCGTCGGCGTCGTCATCAGTGGCTGTCACCTGGTTGTCATCATCATCATTATCACAATCGTCATCACAATGTCGTCTTCATCATCGTCACAATCATCACCATCAATGTTATTGTCATCATTCTCATAATCATCACCATCACAGACTCTATCGTATTATTAAAGTTCAAAAAAATCCAAAAAGTAATATCAATATATTATCATTTTCATTCAATAACTTTTTTTTTATTATCATCAAATCATCACTCTCATCATTTTTGTCGTTGATGGTCATGATGGATCATCATCATGCTCATCGTCATCATCATCAACATCATCATCATCATCACCATATCATCATCATCATCATCATCATCATCATCATCACCATATCATCATCATGATCACCACCATCGTCATTATTATCATCACCACCATTTCCCATCATGGTCATCGTTATCATCATCGTTATCATCATCACCTGCAGGACAGACGCCCCGATATAATTGTTCTCGGCGATGGACCCCAGGTAGGTCTTCTTATTGAATTTGGGGGCGTTGTCGTTCTCATCCCTGACCAACACCCTCAGAAATTTTTCACTCGTTCGCGCTGTTTCCATGGCGTCCGGCTGATCTTGGCATCTGTGGTGACGATGACGATGAGGATGGAGGTGCAGGTTATTGTCTGTGCGTGCGTGTGTGTGGTTATTGTCTGTGTGTGTGTGTGCGTGCGTGTGCGTGTCTGTTTGTGTGTACGAATGTGCGTACATGCGTGTGCCTGGCGACAGTAATGATGATGGCAGAACCGCGGGTGATTCACTAATGACGGGGTTTGAAATGGAAATTTGATGAATTAAAAAGTAAAAAATGATTGAGCGTGGCATTAAATGAGCAGAAAAAATTAGGATAATAATTAGCTATTGAATAAATAAATAACGAAGGAAAAGTTTTGAATCGGGAAAGGAAGAATGGAGCGAACAAAAAATGAATGAATGAATAATTGAATGAATGGAAAGAATGAACGAATGAATGATAGAGTAGATGGATGAATATAAGAATAAGAGCAAAAATGAACGAATGAATAATCTTTTATGTGAGTACATTTGTCGAAGAAAAATTTATTTTGCCAAGAAATATCGTTCCACTATGTTGCTTATGTTGAAATATTTTTGCTGTATTTGAAGTGATGCTGCTGCTGCATTGTAAAGAAAAAATGATTTGCTGGATTGTTTTTTTTTCCTGTTGTAACTTTTTAATGTTATCGTTTCTACTGTTGTTACTATGTTCTTGCTGTGGTTGTTGTTGTCAGGATTTTATGTTCCTGACTTCGTTAATAAACGATTTTATGTTTCAACAAAACATTTTTACCCATCCAAATCTCATAAACTCCGCAGTTATTTATGGCCGTTTTAATGTATTTTATTCGGAATTCTCATAAAGTTTTTAATCTGTTGGAAAGATTTTTATATTTTTCTTATTGCCAAGAAAATCAACATGGAAGCAAATAAATATGCAAGACTGTCATGTCAGTAATGCTAGCCAGCATCAGCGTGTTAAATGATAAGCAAAACATTAACATTTATTTGCATATGTTAATGAACGCTAGCGTGCATTAGCATACATTAATGAGTGTACAGAACATTCGAAAATACACACATATACAAAAAGATATATACCAAGATATGTATACGTAATCAAACTCATGCGCAAACACACAAACGTATCACACATACCAAATGTTTTAGGGTACGCTAATTTATACATGCACAAAATCATGCACATCAACATTCACATAAAGTTAAACAACATCCTACACAATGATACAAATTTGAAAGCACAAACACAAAAAAAACAAATGATACAAAAAAGATACAAAAGTATAAATACAAATAGGATAGAGAGAAAGACCTGACGACAAGGTTGTATTCCTCTACAAGCTCTCGATCAATCAATCCGCATGTACTTATAGTATACTCAGCGTTGAAATTTTCAACCATTTGAAATTTCAACACTTTCTGATGTGCTGTCGTTGACGATGATGTTGAGGGTGAAGAAGAAGAAGAGGAAGAAGATGATGGTGATGATGATGTTGATGGTGATGAAGAAGAAGAGGAAGAAGATGATGGTGTTGCATCAGCTGTTTTAACGTTAAAGAATTATATATCACTAAACGCTCATTCAGTCTTTGAGATTAGGTTATTTGTATTGTTTTTTGATTTTGTCATTAATATTATCATCCTAATTAATAATTATTACCGTCGTCTCAATTAACGTTTTTATCATAATCTTTATCATTCTTTTCATTTTCGTCGCTACCATCATTATCATCATCGTCGTCATCATCGTTATCGTCTCCTGATTTTTTCAATTTTAATTCTAATTTAACATCATCATTGTAGTCATTTTTGTCATCATCGCCAGAATTATCATCTTCGTCACCATCGTCATCATCATCATCACCGTCATCATCATTATCACCGTGATAACCTTCAACAAGCCAGCATTTAACTCTTCCATTGGCTGCGTAATCTGGGTCACTGACCTTCACGTGACCTACAAACGTGTTTACCGGGGAATTTTCCGTGACCTCTGCCAAAACCGGATGTTGCAGTGATGATGATGAGGATGACGATGAGGATGGTGATAATTTTGATGATGAAGAAGAAAAGGGGGGCAGTTGTTTTGGTTCAGAAGAAGATGACAATGTTGGTGAGGAAGATGATGACGAAGATGATGACGATGAGGAAGATGATGATGATGATGATGATGATGACGAAGATGACGAAGAAGCTTCTTGCGCTAGCGTCATTATTGATATCTGAATGTAAATAAAAATAAATTAATTATAATAATAAAATAACAATAAATAATAAAAATAATATTAATAATAATAATAATAATATAAAAATGCCACGTTAAAACATCGAATAAAAAAGAGACTTTTATTAGTTGTAACCAAAAACATTGAATAATAAATTATTATTTACGATGGGTGCGTTGTCGTTGACGTCATCAATTTTAACTACCACCAGAGCAGTACTAGTGAATCTTTCATATCCATGATCTTTGGCCTCGACGGCGAATTCCAAGTAGGCCGGAAGTTGTTCGCGGTCAAGGTCAGCTTTAACGACGAGGTTGCCCGTGATTGGCTGGAGGGTGAAGAGGTGGCCAATCAGAGAAGGAGACTGAGAACTAATTGTGTAGCTAATTTTAGAGTTATCGCCTGTGTCCATATCGGTTGCTGACACCTTTAACGATAATAATTAACAATAAAAATAATAATATTATTATTATCAATATAATTTTGTATTTAATGTAATAATAATTATATTAAATGTTCTTTTTTTCTTCATTTTAATTATTTAAAATGAAATACTTTATGGTGAAAATGTTTTAAATAATAATATAAGTAAACATTAATAAAACGAAAAAGATGATGATGATACTAAGGATGATGATGATGATGGCAATGATGATGTTGTTGAAATGATGACGACCACGATGATGATGACGATGGCGATGATGATAATAATGAGAAGAATTGATGATAATAACAATAATTATAATAATAATAATAACGGTGATGATGATAGTTATGGTAGAAATGATGATGGTAACAATGTCTTTCTTCCTCGCTAATGACGTCAGTGTATGAGAATGATTACAAAATATATTACCGGAGAAGTTTTTTTGAGGAAAAAATTGTATGATTAATATGACAATGAAGATTACAGCAACGACGACAACATCAATCAATAGCCATGAAAAAAAAACATCATCAAATAATAAAGAACAATTATTATTTTATTACTTTTTAAATAAATTTTTAATAAAATTATAATTAAAAAACTATTTTAAAACTGATTTTAAAATATCGAAACCGGCTAACTTTCAGAATAGTGGTACCAACTGGTACATCTTCAAAAACAGTAATTTCATATTTTGGTTTTTCGAAAATGGGCTTGTTGTCGTTTGCATCTAAAACAACGACAACCAATCGCATCGTTCCAACCATTTCCGGTTTCCCGCCATCAATGGCGCTCAGGATCATGTGATGCTCTTCTTTTTCCTCTCTATCTAATTGGCGGATGAGTTGGAAGAATATTTCAATGTGGTTGTCTATTTGTGTTTCCGTTATCAGATGGAAGTATGCTGTTGGTGTTGATGACGTCATCTTTGAGATTCCTGCGCTAGAGTTGATGTTGTCGTTGTTGAGGTAGATTGTATTTTTGTTGTTGATGTTTTGTTTATAGAGGGTGGAAGGCTTTGGGTGCGGGTCAGGGGTGAGTTCGTACCTGGATAGTTGTGAGTTTACGTGGCAGGGGGTTATTTGAAAATTCAGTGAGGAAAATTTTCAAAGACTTCAATAGTAGAAACACTCAATAAAAACAACAGAATCAAGAGCTAACATTTACAAACAACCAATTAAACGTAAAAAAACACAGCTACAACATTGTCAACAACAACAACATCAACAACAACATCAACAACAACATCAACAACAACAACAACATCTGCATCATCATCATCGTCGTCACCATCACCAATAAGCGTCCTGGTCTTTAAATGGCAAAACTCACGTCAGCCACAAAAATTGAACGGTCATGTGACATTTGCAGAATAAATAGAATAATGAATGAATGAACGAATGTACGAATGAATGAATGAACGAACGAACGAATCAATGAATCAATGAATAAATCAATGAACGAACGAACGAACGAACGAAGAACGAACGAACGAACGAACGAATGAATGAATGATTAATTGATAAACCAAAGATGAATTAATGAGAAGAATGAACGAATGCATGAGTGAACGTATTGATAAAAGAATATGAATGAGTAAATGAATGAAAAAACGGAAAAATGAGTCAAGATAAACGGAGGAAAATGTGGATTAATATATGGATGGAGGGATGAATTGCAAATAGATGAATGAATGAACGACAATTTATTAATAAAAGAATGAATAAATGAATGACGCGAAAAAATATTCTGAAGGAATAATGGATAAATAAATATAAAAATGGAATGCTGATTATATGGAATGGATGATTGTGTAAAAATAGATTTGCCAGTGGAGGGATTGATTAGTGGATAAATGATGGATGGCTCTCCACAATTACCATCAGCTCTGTGCAAACAACATGGAAAAATGTTTATACATACACAGGAACATTTGTGTGCAGTCACACGTCTACAAACAACGCACGTACACACACACATACATACCTACCTACTACACACACACACACACACACACACATACACACACACATACATACATACATATTTACCTACTACACACACACACATACACACACACACACACATGAACACGCAGAACGTACACGCAGACACACAAACTCAAATATGCGTACATATGTTTTGATATTGTGAGATTAATTTTTTTTAAATTAGCGGAAATATAAAAAGAATAAAATGTTTAAGATTCCATCCCATATTTTTTAATCCGGTGTCAGATAACAGAATTTAAAAAATTCATCTATTCGCTCATTCTTTTGTTCATTCATACATTCAATCATTCGTTTATTCATTCAATCATTCATTCGTTCGTTCGTTCGTTCATTCATTCATTTTTTTAATCTGTTTGTTTATTACGGCAAAGAAACGTATGAAAATAAATGTATAATCCGATTAATCCCGCAGACATAAATGAAAAATAAAAATGAAAAAAGAGATAATAAATAAATAAATAAAAATAAAATAATAAAAATTAATAAAAAAACTGTAAGGTAGGGCGATGATGAATTCTTATTTAGGGCAATATTGAATGGGGAGAATGTAAAAATGGAACAATTCCTTGGAAGACTCATTAATAACAACGCCAACAGCAACAACAACCAGTCAACAATAAATAACAACAACAACAATAACAACAATGAAAATATAAGAAAAAAAGCAGTAAAAATGGCAGAATAATAAAATAGTTGTGAGAGGTAGTGAAAAGGATTTCAACTATAAAAATTGAATATTACTATGGTATGATATTTAGAAATTCCTTAATAAAATTTCAATTATTCTCAAAATGCGACGTGACACACAATAAATTCGTTCTACAAAATAGTCTATTATTAGATGAACTTTTTTGCCGGACTTCTTCACAAACTTCATTCTAAACTTAAAAAATTATCAATCGACATGAGCGGTCAACCGCTATAATTTGTGATCACCACATCGAATTGATCTAGATAAATTCTATCGCAATGAAGATTATGTAACTAAGTTTTATGGCAGAAAATAATGGGGGTTAGATAGGAAAAAAACCCTGATAACGGGTCAAAAAACGCATTACACACTATTGGAAAGTTAGTGATGTAGTTACGATTGATGTTCCAAATCTACTGTTTAATCTTTCAATCGAACAATCCAATCAGATGGATTTTAAAGTTTCAAAAAATTGTTTATCGACAAAAATAATAAAACGTTTCTGATCTAATTATTTTTTTAAACTTTCGGTGAAATGTAGATAGACGAGACCAACTTCTAGTGAAATGTAGATAGACGAGACCATCGTTAGACACGTTGATCCACTTTCTTTGTGCAATTTCAACATAAAATTTTTTTATGTTGCACACACCAAATGAAAGTTAACATACATCCAACAGCTCTAAGCCGACTCTATTATCTTCATCTTAACCTTAAACGTTGCAAATTAACCTTCAGTCAGCTAAGAGAATAATTTAACTTCTCTACGGTGGCAATACAATGATGCCAAGTTTGTGTGGCAATAAAACTTACATTAAATACAAATTATGTGAAGTTTGAATTTAACCGGATAAAAATATATGAAAATTGGAAATTTTTATTCAGTTTATAACGTTTTATTGATTAAATTCTTCGGACATATATATAACTGATCACATATCAGCAGTCTGGCGATAATTGAGTTTGCAGTGAACCGTCATGACGTCACCATAGAATCGGCAGTGTGCAGTTACATTTTGTCGCTTCGTTGAATTCCTTTTCGCAGTCTATGTTTACGCGTTTTATCTGATTTCTGTAATGCGTATTTTGAACGTGCGTGAGATTGCACGCGTTAGCACGCAACAGTTGTGTGTGTGTGTGTGTGTGTATCTGCTAGCAGTTGTGTGCTATTTGCTATGTAGTTGTTGTAAACAGATGGGTAAACACCATATAAATATCAACTCCGTACATAGCGCTTGTTTTAAATGGGCATTGACGTAACGTTTATCATTTTTCTTGGTGAAAATGTGAGAAAGAATATTAGCGAATATGTGTAAATAGGACGCTGTAATCATTTTTGGTTTTGGCAGAAAAGATTGTTTTTCCAAATGTGCCAGGTGGAATCCATAAGTTTTCAGGATGTCACAACAAAAATAATAAATCACTCAATCATTTAAGATCATCTCTAACTGGCTAAGATCATCTCTAACTGGCTTATTGAGTCATTTTCGTGTTTCTTCATCACAATTAACCATCACGCGTTCCATAATTTTGTTTAATTGCAGGATCATACTCATTCCGTCATTTTTTTTATCATCTTCATCCCTATCATCATCTTCATTTTTCTCTTTTTCATTCTCTTCTTTTTCATCATCATCTTCATCATTTCTACCATCATCATCTTCTTTTTCATCATCCTCTTCTTCATCTTTGTTGCTCCTTCGCTACGGATTTTCATGTGCGTACATTCATCCATTATATTCTCACCAATTATCCGACGATATTTCTTTTTATATTATTTTCTTCTATTATGTCTCTATGTAATATTCGGTTTTCTTCTCCCAATGCAATATAAATTTTTAATTAAAAAAAAAAAATTCATTGCTCTATGGCTCCATATTGCGGGATAAATTAAAAAGTTAATCTTCCAGTATCGAACTTAATCATTCTATATTAGTATTTTTGGCAATAAATTTTTAAAATTGTGAACACTTTTTTGTCGTTTTTTTTTCTTTTAAGTTTTTCAATTTTTATACGTTTTTCGTAGACGTTTTGTTTAAATTAATGTAGTACAGCAGATCGCAACATTGGCTCAAAAATTTAAAGACTGTCACAAAAATCTGTACTCTTTATTAACTGAAAAACTATCAAAACAAAAAAAATGCTTTCAAAATGAAGATAAATAACAAAAAAGGTAAAATGAACAAAATATTAACTAAAAAATACCAAAAATATGGATCTATTTTAATCAGCCTGCTGGTCCCATTTCGTTTTCCTCTCTTCATTTTTGTTTCAAGTTTGTTTGTAAGTTATCCTGTATTATGTGAACGTTGGTTGATTTGATTCTTGAATAATCTTGTTTGTTTGTTTGTTTGTCTGTTTGTTTGTTTGTTTGTTTGTTTGTTAGGTTTATGTACGTTTGCAGACATTTTATAACAACATTTTTCATATCGATAATTTTTTTTCATTAGATCCAGAGGGCATCGATACGAACATTTCAAAAAAACACCGGCCATAAAGCCGCAAGCGTTATTTTACTGAACAAACACACAACCGCAAACAATCCCACAAATATAAACACTTCATCAAAAAGTGTTACATACTCCAAAGTTACAGTCAAACCAACACACCGCAAACTGCGCAAAACACACTTAACGAACACACCCATGAAAAAACCACACTTCTACAAATACAATCACACACACACACATTCATCTAAACATTTTAATCACAGACACACAGACACACCTCAATCACACAACACACATACATCCACACTAACCACATACCAACAAACACACACGCATACTAACTTGTTGACGGCACGAGGCTAATAAAAATTAATTATTTCTAATAAACTATGCTGTATATGAATATCTTATTATTTACATTCACCATCAGCCACATAATTTTCATCATATTTTAAATTTTTTCAGTGTTTCTTATTTATTTACTCAAAAATTCATATTTATTAGCCAGTAAAAATATTTAGTCAACTTTATAAATTTTTAGACACATCTTTACGTATGTTTAACGCAAACTTAACGCATTTATTTGTGTGTGGTGTGTGTGTGTATTTGTTTGTTTGTATGTGTGTCTGTACATGCGTGTTTGTCTGCGTGTATGTGTGTATGTGTGCAATAGACAAAGATGGAAGGAAGTGCTTAGATTCCTGTAGAAATGAACACTTCATCTAAGAATGTTAACATCGAGAATGCACGTCTAAAGCGTAAGCACAACCAGAAAACTAAATAAATTCCAAAAAGGATTGTATCAAAATATTTCTAAAAACATAAAAAAAATAGTTTGAGAAAATATGAGAATTGCCGCAAATTTATATGAGTCTGTTAAATTACATATTTTTTAATAAGCATAGAGAAATAAGTGTGCGAGAACGTGAACTAACATTTATATGCAAACAACTGTTCCTCCTAATCATCAAAACACACAGTAATACAAACAGACACTCAAACATACAAAAGATAAAATATTGAGTGAACAAATCTGCAATCTTTCAATCCAATTAATTCCTACACAACATAAGAATTTGGAAATATAAAAATGAAACCTAAAAATTGCATGCGAATTGAAAGCGGAGGAAATTTCTTTTAGGTTATTATTTCGTAACGTACGTGACAAAACTCTGCTTATAAGTTAAGCAAAAAGAAACAACCACCACAAAAAAAAAATTAAAAAAAAAACTTCAAAATTATAACAGTAAACAACAACTGCGAATCTTTAAAAACCAGCAAACACAACAGAGTTGCACACATCAACAAAGACACACACACACATACCAACAATCACACACATCTGCAACACACACCCACCAAACACACACCCACCAAAACACACACACACACCAACAAACACATACACACACATACCAACAATCACACACATCAAAAACACACACCCAACAAACACACACACACCAACGCACGCACACACACACACTCACGCCACAAACAAAACAAAGCATAATCAAAACCCCAAAAAGCGCCAGCCAGACAGACAGACGAAGAGAACGTAGCGGAGATGCACGCAGCGCGCACGCGCGTAAATAACTTGCCCCACTTTAACCCAGTGAACCTGCTAGAGGAGAATATATGTTTATAATGAAATGCCCCAGCCATTGACGGAGGCGCCATTATTGCGCATTGGCGATAAATCATGATTTACAATGTTCTATGCTCTTAGGAAATTTTCCGTTCTTTGTTCCCAATATCCAGTGTGTGTATAAAATTGTTGTTGTTGTCGTCGTTATTGTTGTTGTTTTGGTGGTGCTTGTGTTGGGAATATTGTGTTGTTTTTTGGTTTTTTGTTCTCACCGCTGTTGTTTTTCTTCGAATATTTTTCACTCCAGGATTGCTAGCAAAGCTGTTGAATGTTTAATGTAATATTTTGGTGCTGGGTCGGTTATGATATGTTGTCTTGAGAATTTGCGGTTTAAACTTTATAATTCTTTGTTTTTTATTTAACTTAGTAGACAACTTTTTTTTATAATTTTATTGATAGAGTGTACTTCGTAGTTTCATTTATTATTTGCTTTCTTTGCTATGTTCGTGTTGATAAAATAAAATTTTGTTAAAACCATTTACTTCCATTCCAAGAGAAAATTTGAATGTAATTTGTGATTTAAAATATAAACGTTCGTATTACAATTTTGAAAACAGCGTTATTCATGTTAATGTATGGCAAGAATTTCATTTGGATCGTCTACAGGTGTCTGAAGAAAATTTACAAACAATAGAATAGCTTATTCAAGCCTATTTGGTGACTAGAGATTTGTTGGAATGAGTATATTTTCAATACCTTTTACTTATTATGATTTAAATATGATCATAATTTTCTTATCGAAGTAGAGAAGATTATTTCTGTTTGAGGTATGGAGAGGAACTTTTGTCTGTGTCACACTATATTCAGTTCAAGTTATTATGTTTCGGTATAAACGTTTGCTTGTATGCGTGAATATTTGTATATTATTTATTTGTATCCATAATTGTTTGTATATTTGCATATTCGTACAAAATGTGTTTGCATATTTGTACGAAATATGTTGTCTGAATGATTTTTTGTTTGTTTATTAGGCATTTAGAAAAAACGTTGTAAAGTGTATTTTATAAGAAACAAAATTGCAAGCCTGTGTTTTGTGTAACAGTAGATTCAAATGTATGTTTTACGAGTTTATAAAATTGTGGCCGTGCTAAATTTGCAACTGTCTAATAATTCTCCATCAGTGTATATGCATTTCTAATTCGGTGTACAAATTATCTTATACATATTTGTACACAAGCGTATGCGTGTATGTACGTATGCATGTCATCTATGTATTTCTATGTTTCCACAGTTGTCTGCCTCTACACACGCGTCTTTGTGCTACCGAATAACCGAACAGTTCAACCTGTATGCAAAAATAATTGTATATTTGCATGTGAATGGACGTGGTCAGCAGCCGTTATTTACCGCTTTTTTTCATAGCGAATTGGATTACAACTTATCATTATTATTATAATCCTCTACCTTCTTTTTCTTTCTCTGTCGAAGTTACCACCATCATCACCATTGTCGTCGTCTTCATTATCATTATCGTCATCATTGTCATTGCCAAACATCATTTTCCATCATCTTCATCTCCACCACCATCAACAAACCAACAAAAATTTCATATTTCCCAACATCATCCTCATCATTTCAATATTGCCATCTTCATCCTCACCATCATCAACAAACAAAAACTTTCAAAAAAATTTCATATTTCATATTTCCCAACATCATCCTCATCATTTTCACTTTTCAATATTGCCATCTTCATCCTCACCATCATCAACAAACAAAAACTTTATTCTGACCATCATTTCACTCACATTATCACCCAATCACTCTCACCTCTTGATGTTGAACTGCGGTCCGTCTAGATCCACGGCCCTGGGCAGGGTGAACTTTGCCCCCATAGTGGTGGATTCGCTGACGTTTAGTTGGAATGTTGCGTGCGCAAAGGTAGGTCTGTTGTCGTTCACATCCAGAATTTCTATTCTTATCTGTTGGCGTTGTTGGTGACGACGATGAACTTTTATTTTTTTATGGTTGATTTTTTATTTATTATTTTTTTTATATGTTTATTATTGTGGTGAAAATGACGTCAACAAAGTTGACAATGATAAATGCACAAATAATAATGATGACATAATGACGGTGACGAAGACGATGTCGATGATAAATTTAAAAATAATAACAGTGGCGAATGATGACGATGAGGAAAGTAATGATGGCTGTACTGGCGATGACAATTACAAGAAGGAGTGCCGTACCGCGAAATCTTTCCTGAATAGCTCAGGATTAAGTACCATAATTAAGTCTGAAAAATACAAGCATTTTGAGCCATTATCGTCATTACAGGCGTCTACGTCACGAATGACGTAACAATGACGTCACAGAGGAAATTTATTACATTCCGGTAAAAAAGACAACAACAAAAAGGCAGAGGTTTGCGATGCGAAAAAAGTGGCGCGAAAAGTCATTAAAAATGATGCCATGACGAACATCACATTTGTCCTGCAACAACATTGTTGTTGTTATCATTTTCACCGTGATCCACATCATCGTCGTCGTCGTCATCATCAGCGTCATCATTATCAACGTTATCTGAATTCACGTAGTCGTCATAATTACAATAGTTACAGATTTCATCATCAATGTCATTCGTTTCATCATTTTCAATTGAAAAACACCATCATTATCATCATCCTCATCATCATTAGCATCTTAAACATCGCAAACATCACCACATCATCAGCATGTCCCATTCAAAAACATCAAAACCATCATCATCGTTATCACCATCACCATCTCAACCCACCCAACCTTGACAACGTGAAAGTGCGTTGCTGGTTGTATCACAACATCCAAGGACATTTCACAAAGGTCACGCCCCTCCTTGCAATGGGGAATCCCCTCCCTATCGATCGGCCCCTTAACCGTCAGAATACCGGTTGTTCGGTCGATATCGAATAATTCGACGTTTTCGGTTAAAAACTCGAAATTCGTTGTACCGTCGGTATTTAGGATCATTTCTTTATTAAGTGGAGTTATCCGGTTGTCATCAGCTAGACTTGCTATTTGAAAGCCTATGGGCGAATTTTCGTAGATTTTGCAACGAAGGGTCAGCGGTGGTTGTTGTAGTTGCAGCTGCTGCAGTAGCAGTTGCTGCTGGTGGATTTGTTGTTGCGTGAGTGTGTTTGATTGATTGGTTGGATGTTTGTTTTGCTGTCTGTTCTGCTGTTTTTGTTGTGGTTTCGACGTCCACTGTTGATGCTTGGGTTTGTTTTTCTGCTTTTGCTGATCACTGGATGCTATTTTGTCTGGTCTTGGCTGTTGTTTTTTATGTTGTTGTTGTTGTTGCTGTAGCAAGTGCAATTGTTGTTGTTGTTTTTGTTGTTTGTTTTGCTGCTGCTGTTGTTGCTTTAGAGTCAATTTGTTGTTTGTTGTCGCTAAATTCGAATGCGTTAAATCACTGAGACGTTTCATTAATCTTCTGGTAACATTGGCACTGCCTATATTGACAACGCGCTTCTTGTTGTAGTTGTTGCTGCTGTTGTGGTTGTTTTTGTTATTGTAGTTGTTAACGTTGTTGTTATTAATATTGTTATTAATATAATTGTTATTGTTGTTACTTTGAACGTTGTTGTTGTTGTTGTTGATGTTGTCGTTTTGAAAATTTAATTTTGAAGAGGGGGGAGGTTTCGCGTGCACTTCCTCAAACGTCACAGGCAGATGCTTCGTCGCGTCATTCAGCCTGGCAGTCATTAATGAAGAAATATTGCAAAATGGCGGAGTAGACAATGCCGGAAGTGACGATGGGAGATGTAGGGATGTGCTAATCAAATTACTTATCCACAGTTCGTGTAATGAAGAATTATAGATAACACTGATGATGGCTGAGTTGGTTACCGGTGTGTTAATTTCGCTAGTGAACTTTCTTGAGGTTGTTGTCGACGTTGTTGCCAACAATGTTTTTGTTGACGTTAGCGATGACGTAATTGGGATTTTTGTTGTCTTTGATAACAATGATAATAATGATGATGATGATGACGATGATGTTGAGGATGATGTTGTGGTTAATGAAGATTTTTTGTTTCTCTCAATTGCTTCCATAGCAATCGTTAAAACATTCGTTAGCGGTGTAGTGGTTGTTGCTCTTGTTGTTGACGTCTTTGATGTCGTCGTTGTTGTTGTTGATGTTGTTGCTGACGTTCTTGCTGCTGTTGTTGTTGCTGTTGTTGATGTTTTTATTGATGCTAAAGATACTGTTGATTTTGCTGGTGCTATCAAGAAATCATTTTGTTTAAGTTTCGTTGTTGATATTGTTGTTGTTTGGAATAAATTATTAGATGCTGCCATTGTTGCTGGTGTAGGTGTGGTTGTTCTAGACAATGTTTGTGTTGTTGTTGTTAATGTTTTATTTAACGTTGATATTGCAGCTGTATTTGTAGCGAGTAATGTTGTAGTTGTTGTTTTTCTTGAAACAATCATCATTCTTTGATTGTTCTTAACTTTTTCTTTGTTCAAAAAAATAAATTTTATTTGGTTGCTAATGTTGTAAAACTTTGTTGTTGGAAAGATTTTGCAACTTTTGTTAGTGTTTTGTTGTTTTTCTCTGTTGATGAGGAAATTATTATTGACAATATTGTCACTTTCTTTTATACTGTTGTTGATGTCACTATATCTGACGATGTTGTTGTTGTTGTCAACGTTTCTGTTAACAGTGTTATTAATGTTTTTGTTGTTATTGTTGTCGATGTCAGTGTAATTTATTATATTCAAATTGTTGTCAAGATTTTTGCTGCTAAATTTGTTGAAGAAATCTTTTTTTGCAGACGCGTTGATGACAACATGGTCGGCGAGGTTGAAGATGTTGTCGTCGTTGTAATTTGCCACATGTCGAAGTTGTAGTAGCAGTGTTGATAGCAACAAAATCAAACACATCTCAACACTTGTTAAGAGAGACAGAGAAATTTATTTATACGATAGACTGAAACTTTTGACCGGCACTGTGCATACAGCTCTGAATGTTGGCGATGGTGTTATGAGATGATGATTTGGTGATGTTTGAAATGACGTTAATGAGGTTTTCATGAAGATGATGTCATACTTAGATTTCAATATTTTATTATAATAATACCTTCCATTCGACAATATTACATTACGTTGAACGTTACTATCAAAACAACAACAAAATCTACGTTGACCTTTCAGCATGTTATGCCTAGCTGATGTTGGACATCTGATTCATTTAAACTTTCAGACTGCTCCCAAAACAAAAACAAACACAACAAAAAAACAAGAAAAATAACAAAATAACCAAAACAAAGACAAAGCTAAAAACAACAATAAAATGAAAGAAAAATTTACCAAATAATCAAACTAACATAAAACAAATTACACGGTGAAATCTTCTAGCCATAATAATAACAAATGTCATATCCAAATGAAGACCGTCCAGAGAATGTCACTGTCTCGTCTCGTTTCGAAACGGTTTCCGACATTTCGAGATACGTAAAAACTCTTCAAAATTGTTTTAATTTATGATGCACTTTCTGGCCGATGTCTGGGCTCTATTTATTATTTATAGCGTGAGTTGTTGATGCTGGTTGCTAGTGGTGTTGCTACTATACTACTGCTGCTACTACTACATCTTTGTGTTGATGTATGTTTTTTGGTAGAAATATTATTAGTCATTATTCGTCATTAACATTGTTGTCTTTTCATTCTTCATTGCTTTTTTCAGCTTTTTGTTAAATAATAATTTAATATTTTTGTCTCTATTTCATTTTAGTCCATAATAATTCTTGTTTTTAAGTCTTTGGTTATTTCATTATTTTCATTATTATTACGTTTTTACGACATATTTCACCACCATTATTTAAAATTTTTTTCATTTTATTATTATTACTATTGTTATTAGTATTTTTATTTTTCTTTATTAGTATTTATTTATTTTTATTATTATAAATCATCGTTAGTATTATTTTATAACCTGAGAATTTGACTTATACGATGCTAATTTACAAACAAATTGACATAATAAAAAGTTGCCCATTGCGATTTATGAATAAAACAACCACATAATACACACACACACACACACACACACACACACACACACACACACACACACACACACACACACACACACACACACACACACACGAATGCACTCACACACACACACACACACACACACACATATATATATATATATATATATATATATATATATATATATATATATATATATATATATATACACACTCAGGTAACACTTACACATAAAAATAACAACTCATATTGAATTCTTTACTTACATACGTAATAGTTTGTTTTATATTTTGGTTAATTAATTTCAGCAAAATCTTGGTTCTTGCAAATGATGAAAAATTGAAAATAAAACTAACATATACAGAGAGCAAAAAAAAGAGGGAAAAAGAGACAAAAAGAGAAAGAAAAATGATAGAAAGAGAAATAGAAAGAGTAAAAGAGAGAGAGAGAGAGAAAAAAAAAGAGAGAGAGAGAACGAAATATTTCAGTGTAAACTTCAATGCAATGAGAAACAATGGGAGTTTAACCGACCTGAAAAAATTTCCATATTTCTCTGGTATAAAAAGAAAAATGCGAAGAAGAACTTGTAAATTTTACTGTATCTTACAGTCTATATTCAACATGAAGTTTTTCACCCAAATAAATACCAAATCTATCAATAAGTCAGTCAGAAAATAAATAATTTAATCTACAAATCCAGCGTACAGCTGCAGACAGACATAACGCAAGTTGATTAGCAGATCAGCATAACCACATTAAACAATTATTTCAAAACTTAATCACCATCTTTGGCAACAAAGTCAAATAATGAGAAAAAAAATTTAATTCAACAGAAACTGTTGCAAACATGTGAACATTCGTAAGTGGTAAAACATTTGCAAGGGGTAAGAAACGGAGGAAGGGTTTTGGTTTACAAGTCCATAAGTTTCTCAAAAATGTCTATAAATTTACGTTTGTAATCAAATCCCCATCCACTCTTCACGACGGAAAATTTCGTACGCTTTCCATTTTAGAACTTTTGTAAAAAAAATTTGCATTGGAAAGAATTTCGTAAAAATGTTTGAATTCTCTGAAACACCTTCCCAAAAAACTTCATCTTCGCCACGGCATACGAACGAATAAAAACTGCACATGCAACCATTGAAGCCAACATGGTGATGCCAAGTGTATCAGCGCAAACTAGCAGGCTCAGTTGAAGGAGTCAAAAAATAAATTTGAAATAATGAAAACAAACTCGATAGAACAATCAGGTAGCTGATCCAACAGGCGCTAACAAGCAAACAAAAAAAATAAAAGAACTTACATCCAATCGAACAAACAAACACACAAACAAACAAATACTATCTTAAAAACGAAGACATAGAAACAAAAAAGCACAAAAGGTATAGACAAACAAACACAAACAAACACAGGTGAGCATACCAAACAAACTATCACAAGCATAAAATCAGCAAAAAACATTCCAATCTACATGTTTTATCAACAAACAAATATAATAATTACTTACATGCCAACAACCAAATAAATGTGAAAAACAAATGCAGACGAACAATTACAAGTATACAAACAAACAAATACAAATATAGAAAACAAACAAACAGATACAAACAAACAAACAAATACAAACATACAAACAAACAAACAAACAAATACAGAGCAAGATAACCTGGTCGGACCTCCGACAGACTTATCTTTCAGGCGCACAGTATTCCTTTTTTGTTTTGCGTGAAATTTGTTGTGTTTGTGAATGTATGCGTTTAAGTGTGCGTGTTTATGTATGTGTGTGCGGGTAAGTTTGTATACGTGGCATGTGTATGTGTACGCGTATAAGCTTGTGCGTATCTATATAAATGAATTGTGTATATATGCATTTGCAATTGCGTGCAAGTGTGAATATGCATTAATCTGTAATTTGTACATGTTTGCGAACGTGTTTAAGCCCAAGTTTCAAGTCACATATATTTGTATCAATT